CGGTGCGTGGGGCCTTTCACGCGTTTTAAGGTTTCACCGTCCGCCCCGGAGGAGCTGTGCGGCTCCCCGCGCCCACGCGCGGCAGTGCCCGCGAAAGCAGAGGGGGAGCCCCGCGCCGGGGACGGGGGAGGTTCTCGCAGAGCAGTTGTGAACCCCCGCTGGGTTTGCTCCAGAGGAGATCATTGGGGAGCGAAGCACGGAAACCGACGGCAGAACTGAGGCTCTGCAGAGCCAAGCGAGTGAGGGGGGGGGTTGTGTTTGTTTTTTCCACGGGCCTCTCTTCGCGGGTGAAACACTGTCATGACACTTGAGCCTTTGTAACGCCAGCAGCGGTGGTTAGAGTCATAACAAGTGATTTCAAGTATAGCAACAGGTGAAATACTATTTTAAAAGGATGCATCATGCTGCACGGATGTAGCAGGGATACCTTCTTCGCCAACAACAGCAACGTATCAAGTGACCTCTTCCATATGAGAGTACTTGAAATTACTCATTAGGAGATTAGACGAACATAGACCAAATCCTTTTTGTCTCACTCGTACACGGGGATTATGTGGAAACAGCTGACGGTGTCCATAGGGAACATCGATCAAATTATTGATGGGGATTTCCATACTTGCATACAAATCCAGCTGTTGTCAGATGCTTGCCATCCCTGTTACCGCGGTCAGATGTGTTCTGCAATGACTTGTCTCACAGAGTTGTCAGCCCTCAACAAATAGTTTGTCCGAGTAGAACAGCTTTACAAAAAAATAAAACCATTTTAAAATCACCTTTCAAGATTTTAGTTGATACAGTTGCACATGTGATACTTAATGGTCCAAGGGTTTAAACACAGTAGAATGAAGATGAATTCTTGCACCATCCCTCCTAACAAATTAATAGCAGAAAGATGTGCAGATGTCACTACGCTGCAGCCACCATAACGCTGTCCTATGTCATCATGAGGCCTTTTTGTATGTGTTATCTCACTCCTGCTTGTGGTGTCAACATGCATTTGCAGGGATGTTTGTCAGGTGGGAAATAGGAGGTGTATTCAAGTTAGAAAACTTGGATTATGCAGAAGCCAACGTAGGCATCTCTGAAATGAAAAACATATTTGTCAGTTCACAGTTGGGTTTATGAATGCCACATGTAATTACCATTTCAAAATTAAATAGAAAACTGATAGATAAAAGCTAGGGCAGGTTATAGATGTGAGACAGAGTATGAAATGGTGTGAATAATTTTTTACCAGTAGGTTCATTTAAAAACTTACATGTTGTATATAGAAGAATTTCTGTGCGCAGCCCCTGCCTATAGATTAGGTTAAAAATTACTGGTTTATAAATGGTTTTAATCAATGTTCAGTATAAGGTTCTTTACTACATGCACATTTTCCAGTAATTTCACTTTTTTTGGAAGCACATTTGCCTTTTCAGATGTTAAAATTACGTGACATAACTAACCAAGTAATTGATTGTAACCTAACCTGTTTGTTGCGACGCATGTTGGTTTTGAACACAGATCCTGGCTGGATTCTTAAGGATTTTTTCCTTTCCCTTTTTGGGGAATGTAAAATGAAAAAAGATAAATAGTTCTTCAATAATATTCAATAGAAAGGGTGGATCAAAAGTTCTGTACATAATGATGTTGCCTAAATCAATAGTTAACTCTTCTGGTACATTCCTGATACAGCTGTGCATCTTCACTTTAGCTCAGAAATAACCCTGGAAGTAGGAAATCCACCGATGGTTATTTTTGACTACCAAGATAACAAGTCAGTTTTACAATGGATTTGGCATCATAGACTTCTACAAAAGTAGTTTGTTTTTTTAATTTATGGTGTGTCTTTTTTTCTTGCAGTCCTTTAAACTCCTAGGATTTCTTGATGTTAAAAGTGTCCCATGTGCACGAGAATCAGTGCTCTATGGCTCCCTGGGATCTTTAGTTGTGGGTCTTGGACATTTTTTAGCAACTAGTAAGTACTTACTCCTTCTGGGTTTTATATATTTATTTGCAAGGAAAAAATAATTCCTATTTGCTGTTAGGTTTTATTAATAATAGGAAGTCATCCAAGGTTTTTTCTCTTTTTTTTTTTTTTGAGGATTTTTGTTTTTCTTTCAGGTAGAGTTAGAAGATCTTGTGACTTTGCAGTTGGTGGCTTTATTTGCACAATGTTAGGATACTGGTATGTAATACGCTTCTTCAATTTTGACAGACCTATGTTGGCTGCTTTGTACAATGTGATCTCCATGTGAGCTTTCACCTTGTTTTTGAAACTCCATAAAAAACTTCCCTAGCAAAGTGTCCTCTTCCCTCTTCCCAAAATATTTCTTTTTTTTTTTTAAAGGAAAACAGTTCAATGCTTTTGAATTTTTATGTTAATATATTTTTTAAACTTGATATTGTTTCTTGAATCCTGAGATCTAACCACCCGGTTACTTCTGTCAGTCTTAATTCTTTCTTTTTTCCATCACATATGCCATCCTTCTGTCCTAATTATAAAAGCGACATACTAACTGGTCATGAAATGAAGATCCAAATTATAGACATTAGCATTTTCCATTGGGTTTGCATATCCCACTCCTCAGTGGCTGCATAATGTTTGCCTTAAAGAAATAGCAGTTACCCTAGTATTTTCATTATGCATCATTTCTTAATGAATGCTACTATCATTATTATATGTGGCTTCAGCTTTTCAAGTGGCTGAATAACTCCGGATTCGATGCTGTCACTCATCTAAAGCAGGGAATCCTGTTTTCTCTTCATCCCCTTCTCTAGGTTTTACTGCAGGTACAATTTGGCCCAACACAGGATCCGGCAAAGAATGCTTAAAGAAGGAATGAGAAACAAAATTTTATTTGAAGGCAGTTCTCTTGATCCAGAAAGAAAACAAACCAGCAGTGAAAGAAGCGATTCATAGTCTGCTATAGAGGAATCTGTGGTCTAATACAGCTTTGGAGAAGGCGGTCCAAAAATGGCAGTTTTCCCTGTAAACGTGTGAGGTACCTAAAACTGATAAATCATGCTGGTTTTCGTAGGAAATCTGAGCAAGAAATTCATAACAAATCTGTTAAGTCAGTATACAAGCCTTTCTTTGTTCCCTGTATGTATGTATGTATGTATGTGACTATGTACACAGTTAGGAATGACATCCTATTAAACATCTGGGAACTGATGTGTTCTGCTACAGGGTCTCAGAGGATTAATGACAGCATTTTGGGACTGCTCTAACTGCCATTATAAACAGAATGGTTCAGTTTAGTAAAGTTGTAATTGCATCTCATTTAAATACAGGAAAATACTTTCATCAGCTATTCTCTGGGTAAATGTATCCTTCAGTGCTACTGTTAATCATGGTGTTTGTAAAACAGGAATATTTAAACAGTTGGTGAAGGCTTTGCTTATGCAAGATGGGTGATACCAGTAGCCTTTGTAAGATTTCGGCTGCAGAATAACTTCAGATAATTTATATACACTGTGAAGATGAAGGATTTCCATTTCTGTTCTGTGCGAAACTAAGAATAAAATCACACTTCAGAAGCAGTCTGAGCTATGAAAGTAACTCATCTTTTTACTTGGTTAAAAATCTTGCTTTTCTGTTTAAGACATTTCCTTACAATTGGTGGAATAATAGTTTACATTATTCATGAGTAGCAATGGTCAGTAGATTATTTTTTTTTTTAAAAGGGATGTTCAACTTGTGTATTTCACTGTACATTTTCAGTTAAAAGAAATACCACTATATAATTTCAAGGAAACCATCCTGTTTGGAAATACAGCATTAGATCTACTTGCATATTGGTAAAAAGATGAGTGATGGCATAACATTCTTTGCTTGCTCCTGTCTACACCAGCGACACAATGTATTTACGTTTTTCACAAAATTATGTGTAGTACATTATGCTGTGAGCACTTTTTTGGGCTAAAGGCATTCACTGAGCAAAACCCCACCCCCCTCAGTCTGAGAGTTTGCGATCTGTTGTTAACTCAGGTAGGTGGGGGGAGGTTTGGGAATCCAGATGTAAACAGCAGCATTGCTCCATTTATTTAATTTGGAAATATACATGAAAACACTAAACAAACATTACACTAAGATAATTAAACTTTTACCCTCTGGATTAGCCTCTCAGAAGAAGAAAACCAACCTGTATTCTCTGCTTCCTTTTTTCCCTCTACTCCTCTTTCTTCTGGAGGAAACAATACATTTTGTGGAGGACATTCAGTTCAATTAGTTTTGTATAAAAAGTCTCCAGAAAACTTGAGTTAGCACAGTGAAAGACTTTCTGTCCACACTGCAAATTCTAAACTCAGCAGTTAAGCGGTAGCTAACTAATTCAGAAGAGAAAAATGTTTCCCCTGGTTCTCTGGGAGGGAGCCTCCTTCCCTTTGGAAGGGGCAGGAGGTGTTGCCTCGAGAAGCCCTCGGAGCGGCAGTGGGAAACTGAGCAAGCCATGAGCAAGGGCTTGGCCAGCTCCTATTTTAATACATGGTTGAGTTCTTTCCTATCTGACCTAAGAAAAGGAACTGCAACCTAAGCAGGGGGTCTTTTGGCTGCCAGGGCAGAGTTCAGCTGGCGAGTTAGGAAACAAAAGCATGTGGATGAAAATGTACTCTTTGGCAAAGAGCAGTTGTGGAGAGAGAAGAGAATGCTGGTTTGTACTGATAGGAAAGAAGCTGGCATGCGCGTAATGGCATCCTTCAAAATGCACAAGTACTGGGACTGCCTTGAGAAAAGAGCAGAAGCATCACGATACTCTGTAAATGAAAAAATTGGGGGAAACCTGCAGCATTAGATCCTCTCCAGTGTTAATTGGTGTTGGTTTAAGCTACTGCATTTAAGGATATTAGCTCAATAGCAGCTTAAGTACAGTATTAGCAATTCTGGCCAAATAACTACGAAATTCTAGATGTACCTGCATTGCGTAGATAACTGATCTAATACTTCTGCCTTGCTGTGCAAAATATAAAATGAGTATGCCAGATGTTAACAGGAAATTCAGGCAGCTGGCTGGCACACTTGAGCTTTGTTATCGAGTAAAAGTTGAGGTGGAGTTGAGCTAACCCAAAGTCGGAGCCATTGCCGTGAGGAGGACTTGGTGGCATGGGGAGTGGGTCTGCAGTAGCAGAGGGAAGAATGCTCGTGCTTAAACATGGGAAGGGGGAAGAAAAAAGTTTGAGATAATTCCTCGAAGCACCACAGCTGCTTCTGCACCAACTATGGAAAGTGGGTTGGAAGTGACTGATGGGTTACAAACCCCTACTGAAAGCGTGAGCGACAGGACAAACCCCCAAAATCTGAAAGCTATTAGTTGTCATAAATCAGGATACATTCACAAGGAAATAAAAATTGTAGTCACTTAATAGAAGTAATTTTAACATTTGAAAAAAACCCTCCTAGCTATTTTTTAAAATTAGTGAGCCGTATCCCTATTAATGCTAATTTTTTAAATCTAAGTCATTGGTGGAAATACATGGCATGTATCTGTGTTGTATTATCGAACTTGCTATCTAATCACAGATGTGATGGTTCTTGCTTTATCGAGTTTCAAAATATTCCTCAAATTAAAACTTACCAGACAGTTACTAGAAAGGAAGACAAATAGTAATTTTGAAGATGTTTGGTATTCAGCCCTCTGAATGAGCCTTGAAAAGGAGACTGAAGTATAGCAACGTTAAGCTATAAAGTTGCAAAAATCCTGTTTATTGTACTGATAGTTAATGTGGCTTGGTCCCTGAATGCCGACTAACAGGCACGCTTAGTGTTTATCCCTGAAGTTAGCAAAATCCTCCCTTAAAGCAACTTAAGCCACCACCGAAACAAACAGGTGCCTTTGCACCCCATCCGCTCCTCCCGCACTTGGGGAAGGCGTTTGCCAGCCCCCTCTGGCTGCATGCGGTCCAGACGCGGGGCTCCCGACAGTGACCAGAGCGCACAGGCGTGCATCCTCCAGGCCTTTTGGGAAGGAAAGTCACGGCCAAGGCTGCAGGCGGAAGTGGGGCGATCTGAGGTTAATTGCCAACTCCCTTATTAGAGGGCGGTGTGATCAGATCGCCTCTGCCCTTCAGCGCCTTTCACTAAAGCCAACGTAAGGCTTCGGCCATAGACAGCAACGATGGGCTAAAAGCCCAAGAAGTGTTTTGAAGTTGGCAGCAGAGGCAGTTACAGCTGTCATCTGAAACTCATCCTTTACATCTTTACCCAAGCAGAGGTTTTTGGGAGACGGTGTTGGCGCCACCTTCTCTCTGCATTTTGCAGGCTTCCAGGCTACTTTGCTTGTTGGCTCCCGCCCCCGATCCTAGGGGATCTGCAAGGAAGGGTCGCCTCCTGTCATTCACAAACCAGTCTGGCTTTTGGTAGGGTGTGGGGGGGTGTGTGGGAAATGCATTTGTTATTTGTGGTGTAAGGAACCTGGAGAACAATAATTTACTGTGTGAACTCAGTTGTAATGAGCTCCTAAGTGAAAGATTTTCCTCAGTTTAGTAGGCTAATTCCTATACTTCTCTCATTCCTCTATCCAGGCATTTAGCTCAAGAGCTCAGTCATTACCAGTGAAAGTTGGTTGGTTTGCTCCGTTTAAAGTTTGAAGTAAGTATGTTGTTATTGCCTTGAAAAACTGATCAAAACAAAGGTGTTACAGTATGTTCAGGTGCTCAAGAAGATGATGCTTTGATTTTTTTTTTTAAAGAACCGAGAATTAATTAAATGTCAGAAGTGGAGCTGAGTTTTAGTTAATGTGACTCAAGGCCTTGGAACATACACCCTTCTTACTCTTAAAATGGATGAGATGATTGTAGGCCCCCATGTTTTCACGCGCTCTCTTTTTCTGTGTGCAGCTCATCGTTTGCCTGAGAGCCGCCCAACAGTGGTTCTTGTGGGAATAGGTCACAGCATCCCTCTATCTGCTTGTTTTAAAGATTAAGAGCAGTTCAGTTCTGAGGAGGATATTTTAATCCTTCCACCTTCTGTCATCTATCATGAGCAAGACTGCGTCAGAGCCCTCAGCTTTCCTGAACGTGCCGGGAGCCCACTGGCGCTACATAAAATGTACCGTGGGAGCAGACAATTACCACTGCAGGGCTTTTTCTTTTTAGGCTGGCCACAGCTCCAAAAATACCCAGCCTGGGTATTATGGTGATATATTTAGCAGAACCAAAGATTCCCCCTCCCTGTCTTCATGCTCGGAAGAGAATTAAACACATGCTTTGCTTAGTGTTAAACTCCTTGTTTATTTTGTCAAATGCTGTTACAAAGAGCAGCAGGTGCGCTCTCAGCCAATGTGGCTGCTCTCCCCGGACAACAGATCCTCATCTCTCCTATTGATGGTGAATGGCTTGTGATCAACTCTGGTGATCATGGTGTGCAATTATCCATGAGATGTTGTGGCCTTCAAGTCCTCATATATGTGTATGGCACGTTTGTGGAGCTTTACAACCTGGCTGATATTCATGCATTCCATCAACCAGCTCAACTGTTGTTGCCACCTTTACCTTTGCCAGGTGGCCAAACCCAGTGAGAGAGATGTTTCTCCACCACCTCATCACTGTGACACTTTGCACAGATGCTGTGGAAACAGGATGAGAGCCCATTTGCCCGTGGCTTCTCCTGAGCAAATTTGCAGTCAGGGTGCCCACAATCCCAGCCATCAGAACATTTAGGATACGTTACCTCAGCACTTAAAGAGAAGCTCCCTTCCCCGTGAGGAAACATTCAGGCTCTGGATGAGATAATAGCAGCATTGCTGAAGATGTAAAGCCAGTAACTCATTGATTATTGGGCAGATGATACATCATCGCAACCAGCAGTTGCAGAAGTTCTTCATGGAGCCAATACAGAGCAAAAAAATTTCCAATGGCCTGTTCCTCAAAATAGAGGAGATGGATACTCTGTTCAGGCACCCCAAAGAAATCTGGAACTACGGGAGATTATCACATGCTGTGCTTATGACGCATTCATCCAACGTCTACAGCCCTGGAGGGTCACCCTGAGGCAGCATGGGGAGGCTGTGACAGAACTTGTTTGACTTGGTTTCTTAGCTCTGATTGATAGTATCCAAGTGCCACGTTCTTCACTATCCGCCTACTCAGACACTCAGGATAAAAAGAGCTTAGCCCTTTCCTCCTAAGTCTCATGAAGTTCCCTTGAACCACTGCTACAGAAGGCTTCTTACCCCTGCTAACAAGCACGATGGTCCTCTCAATCCCCAAAACCAGTCACCATCCACCATTTCTACTCAGCATTTTTTATATCACCATTCAGCCTTCTACTGGGGACACCATACCTTGGCTTGTACACCTCCATCACCC